AGTCGGATGGAACTTGTGTGCGATAATCAAGCTGCCCTTCATATTGCATCAAATCCGGTGTTCTAAACACATTGAGATTGATTGTCACTTCGTCAGAGAAAAGATACTTTCAGGAGAGATTAGTACAAAGTTTGTGAAGTCAAATGATCAACTTGCAGATATTTTCACCAAGTCTCTCACTGGTCCTCGTATTAGTTATATATGTAACAAGCTCGGTACATATGATTTGTATGCACCGGCTTGAGGGGGAGTGTTAATTTACAGCATGTATATAGTGTAGTATTGTCCCACATTGGTAGAGGAGTAGTATGTCCTTGTATAGTATAGCTATAAATAAGGACCTCTTGTGTAGTATTATTCATTCATTCAATATATCAATAACATATTTTCTCCCGTGCCTTCTCACAATGTATCAGAGCAATTGTGAGAGACTTATCGCTGTGCATAAATTCCAGCGATTCNAGTATAGCTATAAATAAGGACCTCTTGTGTAGTATTATTTATTCATTCAATATATCAATAACATATTTTCTCCCGTGCCTTCTCACATAATAAGTATTTAGGGATAACCACTGTTGAACCATGTGACCATCTCATATAAAAAGCATATTCATGTAGTTCAACAAAAGTAGAACGTAATAAATGCTGGACACAAGCAGATGGTTAAAGAGCATATGGTCAAGAAACTAGATATTCAGCTACTGTTGTATTTTGAGATGGCAATGTGCTATAAGAAACGAGAACAGCATGGAGAGAAATAAGATTAAACCTGCACCTTGGAGGAGATGGCGAACGATTTCTTGCATTACCATTCTCTGAATAAGAAGATTAATGCAAAATGATTAAAAGATTAATGCAAAATGATTAAACTCCTCTTTGATAAACGCAAAATGATCAAAAAATTTAACAAAGCTTAACCAAAATGAAGCCACATAAGAAAAAATTGTATACAAGTATACATGTAAAACTGGGGTGTGCTAGTACTAAACAGTTACAGGCCTATAAACACATAAATTTGTGCAATTTACATGGTAAAAACATTCCGATCTGCAGTAAGTTCAATGTGAAATCATCGCAGTGGGTGAAGTGGAGAACATTGAGAATCTAGTACAGGTGTTGAACTACAAGGTTAGAGCTCTTCCCACCACCTATCTCCGTTACACCTAGGTGCATCTAACAAGGACCGAGCAACATAGAACACGGTAATAGAAAGAGTAAGAAGAGACACGCAAAATGGAAAAAATGATATTTGTCGAGAGAAGGCAGTAGATTAAGAGCACTATCAAGCATCCTCACATATTTCATGTCCCTGTTATAGACATCGGTAGGTGTAGCACGCAAATTGAGAAAATGTTAAAGTAACTCCTTATGAGATTTGACAGACGGGACAGAGCTCGGGTGAAGACGTGGATCATCTCCTATTACATTGTCAGGTAACTGCTCGATTGTGGTGTGATAATTTTGAGATGGTTCAAGTTAACATGTCCACGGCATTGTTCAGCTAGGCTTTCAAAGGAATGTATTTTTTTTTTTGGGTAAATAATATATTATATAAATATTTGCACTAAGCCAATGCAACGGGCGTAATTACAGGTTGTGCAAATCAGCAATTGCGTCTAAAATATCATCTACATCTGGTACAAGAACCAGTTTGCACCAAAAAACGATCAACAAAATGCAAAGGCACTGTAAATTTCTTCTTTTGCCTTAAAAAAATTCTTCTGTTTCCTTCAAGCCAGACAGGCCACCAGATAACTTGAGGTACAGTGTTCCAGGTCTTTTGAGCTTTCTGAAATGGAGTTAGGCATGGTCCAAGACATACCAAATATTGAAAAGAACATGTTCCATAACTGGTTTGTAACGTTGCAATGCAAAAAAAAGGTGGGTAACATCTTCAGATTGTTCTTCACATAAAGGACATCTGTTGCACAGCTTGAAACCCCTCTTCTGGAGATTGTTTTCTGTGAGGCATGCCTCCTTAGCCACAATCCAAGAGAAGCAAGAAACCTTTAAAGGTGCCATGTTGTACCATATTTTTTCCAAGGCCATAACTCATTGTTGCTAAAACCCATTGTAACAACTTTTAACTGAAAAAATGCCCTTGGAGTGACCCTTCCAACTGATAGAGTCCATTTTGTTGTGGTCCAAAACAGCGTTGCTTAGCATTTGTAGCAAGAGGCCTACCCTCTCCATTTCCCAATCATTAATATTCCTTCTAAGACTCAAATTCCAGCCTTGCGATGTATAGAAATCTGCAATTGCCCCATTGTGACGCAAGGATAGATTATAAAAATCTGAAAATTGGTCTTTTACTGGCGTATGACCCAACCATGCATCTTCCCAAAACCTGATTTTCCTTCCGTTGCCTCTTAAATCCATGTTTGACTCAAACTTGTTCCAATGCCCTCTAATATGTTTCCATAAACCGGTGCCATGAGGCACTCTAGACTCTTTGGTGCGCCGTGGATTGTCCAACGAAAACTTTTCCACAAAAAAGTTCTCCTCCAAAGTGCATTTTCCTCCATGTTGAATCTCCAATGCCACTTCATCAGAAGACTTTCATTATGATTCTTAAGGTTCTTAATTCCCAGACCCCCCTTCCTTTTGTCTTTGATGACTGTTTTCCAATTTACAAGGCAAATAGGCTTTGATAGTTTATTGCCATTCCAAAGAAAATCTCTCCTTAATCTGTCCATGTGTTTCAACACTGAAGAAGGAGCCGGAAATAGAGACATAGTGTAAGTGGGTAGTGCGTCAAGCACACTGTTAAATAAAGTTATTCTACCACCCAGGGAGAGATATTGTCTCTTCCAATTCGCCAACCTTTTTTCCATCTTCTCAAGGAATGTAAAGAAGACGCATACATGGAAAGTTGCTCCACTATAACTCATATGGGTCATACAGAAAGAGAAACAAGAGAAGCTATGAAGGGATAGAGCAAGATTTAGTACATGTAAGAAAGAGTCTATAATTCCTAGTTTCAGTGTGCTGCACCCACAAGGTTCCAATTTGTATAAAAGATCAGGTGGCATTCATAGCGCACCACAGTTTTGTCTAGGGTCTCTGCCTTTTGGTATACAACAAGTATAGTGAATATATCTCCATCATCAATAAAATTTACTTAACTTTATAAAAGAAGTTCAGGTAGCTAAGCTTATTCAAACAAATGAACTAACAGCAATGAAAGCATACGTAGGAGCACCACAAAATGCCTTAGAATTTGCAAGATATTTAAAGAAGATACTTGGCGACGAGTTGTCACAAAACAAACAAAACGAGACCACATTGTGTGCTGCAAAAGTGGTTTTAGTCTTCGTATTTGAATAGATGTTTTTACCTCTGAGCAACTTTTGTTTGGGCGGTGGATCGCCAAGCTCCTTCCTCCTTTTTAGTATCTGCTGACGCATACGTGCATCAAAGCCAGCCTCGTCTTCATCACTGTTATCAAGGGATTCATGAAAACCAGCTTCTGATTCTTTACTAGACGCTTCTTTCTTTGATCCCAAAGCTTCTCTGATTGTCAACTGAACATCCCTTGTCGATTTTCCTTCATTTGAGTCCTGCATGGGCAGTTTTCCACTGTGTTATTTACCCTACAACATAATATGTACTGAAGAAACGGCAGCCAGGTGCAGCATGCTCCCACTATGCACAGGGTTCGGGGAAGGGCCGAACCGCATTGAGTTGATTGCACGTAGTCTTACCTTGCACATAATTACACATAATTAACTTGCACATAATTACACATAATTACACAACATAATTGCACGTAGTCTTACCTTGCATATTTGCAAGAGACTATTTCCAAGGCTTGAAACCAAAACCATATATAAATCCTATGAACATATCAAATCTGGTGCTTATGACAGCTTACTTAACAAAAATTGCAAAAGTAACAATGATTGAGGAGACAACAGTGACAAGACTACAAAATCCAAAAGTTGACCATAATGCTGAGAGTGACACGCATGATCTTACAACTCCTGCAAGGTTTTGAGATGCTGAAGAGGAAGTCATTTGGAATAAAATAGGAGACGAAGCTGGAATAATGATAATTGCACCTCCATGCAAATAATTCAAATAGGATATGACATAGTGGTTGAATGTGGAATGAAAGCCGCACTGATTACCAATATTTTTTGTGAACAAAGAGGATCCAACTGTATTGATAAAATATTACAAGGACAAGAAAGGAACCCAACAGTAGCTAGTTGTGGTAAATATGGAGGTAATGTTTAGCACATAATATTAGCAGTATGCATAGATTTGGGACTATAACAAGGAAGTTAGGCGATAATGTGAGAGCAACATTGTAGTAATTTTGGAGAGTTAGGTTGTAATGAGCCAAAGTCTAATACATAAGACACCAAACCTGACAACCATGACAGGTAGGCTAACACGCAACCATCCTCGTTACGCTCAGGCAAATACGCAACTATCCAATGAACGGTTACCCCTCTCCTATTGGGAAAAGAAAACTATAGATTATTGAGTAGAACCTTACAATGGTGTGGATCAAATTGTGATTAATATCATGCTTCCTGGATGGATTTATATCAGGTATCTTCTTTAGAGCAGAAATTTGAGCACTAGGATGCAATCTCAGTGCTTCTTAACACATTCTATTTAAGGAAAGTGCATTCTTTGAACTTAACAAAAAGAATACTTGTGATGAGCTAGTAAAGGGCTGTTCTACTTGGAGGGAAAGGGATACAGAAGCAAGGAAGCTAGTAATATATCAGAAGCCTCCTTAACCCCCATGCAGGAAAACTCAATTCTGCTTGGCTAATGCTTTGAAGAAACTAAAATTGAGCTTCCCTTGCTTACGATGTATAAGCGGAATGAGATACAAAGAAACTGACTGCACTCCTTTATGTACATATACTCCTTACCAGAGATTGTCATAATTTTACTTGTTTTTCTGACATTGCAACTATAAGGTACAGGGCTTGATACTTTTGTAGATAGAGATGATGCAGGATTGGCATGGTCATTACCAAAGCTTGATCATGTTTTCCTTCCTTCAGCAGACGTGGATCATCCAAGACATCATGACTGCTTCTTATCCTTGTACTCACAGCTGCAAGCTCTTTCTCCTCCTCTTCTGCTTCTTCTCCAAATGAAAGCAAGTTCAACTTTCTGAGGGAAACAGAAAAGGGTTTGTTAAAACGTAAGATATAGATGAAAACTATTTCACTTTCTAAATAACTGCTTCAGTTAGAAGTCAGGAAAAAAAATCTTACTTAGTAGCTTTATGCTTTGCATTTTTCTTCTCAGTTGTTACTTCAGAAGGTAAAGCTTTTGCAAGCTTCGGTCTTGGGACAATATCCTCAAAAGGGTTCCATAATACCTATCAATGATTCACAGAATAAATTAAGCAATAAGCATCAGACTGTTAGCTAATCCAGTGGCTGTAGAAGAAGATCTATAAGTCTAAGACAGCCCACAAAACATAAGAACCTTAAAGGAAACATAATTTGCAGAAAATTACATCTCTTAAGCTAGATATAATTTAGAAAAACAGAGAGAAACCCAACACTTAAAGAACAGTTTTTTCAACAAAACGAGGAGCAATAGAGAAAGAGAAAGCAAAATGAGATGATTTTATTTAACCATTAAACTACGACAGTCAAGAAAGAACCATATGACATCTTACAATATAACAAATAAAGAACTAAAGAAATGGACAAAGTTCTCACAGAAGATTAATTAAGAGGAAAAAGCTGCAGCAAACGAGAGAAATCCAAAGAAAGACATTAACGCTGTTATGGGACAAAGAATATGATCATGAACAGGGAGACATACAGAGGACAACCAAAAGAACAAAAGAAAATAGTTCAAGAAAATACGATTCTTCTGGTTCCACTCAGACCATAATCCTGATAGAGCTAACAAAACATCGACATGGTGACTTTGGCTTGATCGAATATGGCACGTATCCCATGTCGTAGCCATGTCTTGTCGTCTCGATGCCGGTGAGGGACATCAACCAGAGGCTCCATGTAACATATGAAAAAAGCTGACACCTAAGATCCGTGAATTAAATATCAGTTTATCTGCTACCCCTTTAAGCCTCAGTAATACAATAATCTTGTGAACACTACCCACCAGACTTGTAAGGCCCTAACTACCAACGTTCGTTTATACTCCTTTCTTTGAATCAAAACTATGAAGGATGAACTAGAACTCTTTAGTATTTAAGGCTCCGTATCATGATTTACTGCATCCCAACAGTGTTAAGGAAAAGTTAAAAGTAAATCCATCTGGGTACGTCCCCTGCGCAACTGCACAAATCATCACTGCTTGTTCCACCAATTCATCCCAGTGTTCCTGAAGCGAGGCGCAAAACATGTTGAGCGCTTCTTAGCGGGTGCTTCAGAGTTGTCATCAAGGGTCTAAGGCAATGAGCGTAATCCTGAAGAGGCAATACTGAACAATTGATATTTCATTTTATCGTAATTGTTTTTCAATTTCTTTGTCCATATATTTGTTATTTATGCTTATAATAATTAGTCTTGGACTACATATACATATTTGTATTTTTTCTCCATTAGTGTCTTTCTTCATTAAAGCCCACCTTTTATTTGCATTTTGCGCCGAAAGCCCAATGGACCTCGGAGCTTTTTTGCATTTTTCACCTTTGATAGCACTAAAAGTGCATAATATAATCAGGTAAACAGCTGAAAAGTAAGTTAAAAAGCTGATTCTAAATAGTAAATACTGTTGAGTAACATAGAGTCTATCAAACTACTACTTTGGTAATACCACAGACGAGCGAGCGATAATCCAGTGGGCCTCAAGGCAAGCATGAGATATGTAATTCAAGAGTAGCCACAACCTCATAGACAGGCAGTGAAAGGGAGCACAAACAGAAATCTAGGTACCTCTACAGATAGTATCTTAGGTGGAGGATCCACAGGCCGATCATCCTTGCCAGTTTCAACTTCACCCAATGTTATAAGATTATATATTGAATCCCCACTTACCTGCAAATAAGGGAATGAAGCTCTAAAACTACAGAAACAAGTTAAAAGGTTTGACAAGATGTAGTATGCCTGGTGTAAAGAGAAAAGTAGATTACTTTTCCAAAAATTGTATGCTTCTTGTCGAGAAAATCGCAACGATCCAAAGTCATAAAGAATTGACTCGCATTTGAATTTGGTGAGCCTGCACCAGCACATGCCACCAAACCCCTGTGTTTGAATCTTAAACGGGAGTGAAATTCATCAGGAAACACACCACCATATATGCTTTCACCACCTGCATGAGTCCACGGAAATCATCTTCAGCAATGCATGCTAAAAGAGGATATAAGAGACCCAACTAATGATAAGCTTGATTAGTGAGAGCTTCCAGTGAAGCTATCATTCTTCATTTCAGTCCACCCTAAATGAAGATTTATCGGAGATCAAAACAGTTACCCTAAAAGAAAAAGAAAAGAAATAACGCCATTAAATAAGAGCGAACAAAAAAGTTCCGGAAGATAGTCATTCAACTTCTTCAGATGGATCACGTGTCCATTTTTGGAGCTTAATCTTTTATCTTCTTTATGACAAAGAAAGAGGATTTCACTGAAAGATAAGAAAAGATTATTTTATATATTGGTGGTATCAATACTTTCCAAACTTAACTTTTTCATCTTTAACTTTTTTACTCTTGTATTTTTCAAACTTGTTCTGAAAATGCTTTTCTTGAGTCGAGGGTCTATCGGAAATAATCTTTCTACCTCACACAGGTAGGGGTAAGGTATGCGTACAACTCACCTTCCCAGATCTCACTTGTGGGATCATAGTGGATATGTTGTTGTTGTTGTTGCTGTTTTTTAAGACGGTGGTATCCAGGCCAAGAAAATGACTCATTTCTATTTCTGAAAATAAATTAACTTAAAACTTCTCATTTTACCCTTAATAAAGTTATTTTAGTCACACAAATGTTATTGCATGTTTAAAACCACAAGTTTCAATAGTTTTATAGCCACAAATACTATGGCATGTTTAAGGCCACAAGTTTCAAAAGCCTTCATATCTTTCTTAAGCATCGTATCATGTCAAACTATGTCATACAAGCTAGAGTAGAGGGAGTATAGCTATAGGAACCTTGGCTACTAATCTCCAACTTTATCTTTCATAGTCAACCTTTCATTTTTCAAATGAATATCATAATTTTTCTCCAAAAGCTATCCCGAACTCCAAATATTACTTTTCATCTCTAGTATATATAAGACACCAGAGATAAATTGATAACTTCCACATTTCTAATGAAAAAGAATTATACCCTTACCTTTGATTTGAACTCGCAAGGAGTCTCCCAAAGTAATGTTGCCACCATTCAACTTTGCAAACTTTACAAATAAATGTTTCTCTCCACAAATATGAGTATTTGCACCAAAATCAAGGTGCCAATAGTTTCTTTCTATACTTTTTTCGCCTTTGCATCCAATAAGTAAAGTCCTATCTTCATCTATTTTGCTCTCTGCAAAATAATTTTTTTCTTCCACATTTTTTTACATTCCCAAAAGTAATGACCAAATTCATGACAAGTATAACTTCAACATTGATTTGTCATGCCTTCCTTGTCGGCCTTCTTCCTCTACCTCTTCCATGACCTCTTCCTTGGTTGGAGTCTCAACTTTTTTATTTATTTATTTGGAGGTATCCACCTCCTCCTCCTTGATTACAATGACTTCTCCCACATCCACAACCTCTTTCTTGCAATCCATGCTTTTCATCTTTCTCCTCCAAAGAAAGATGTGCTTGCAGAGCTTGTTTAACTGATTATTATTTCAGCTTCTTCACTCTTACTTCATGTGCTTTTAAGGATCCGATACGTTATTCAATAGCCATGGTATCCAAGTCTGGACTTTTCAATGGCAACAACCACATAGTTAAATCATGAATCTAAGGGTCGTGTTACTTCTGCAACAACTTGTTCATCCTTTAAATCTTCACTATACCTTTTCATTTGAATGACAATAGCCAAAACTATTGAAATATAATCAGAGATGGACTCAGATGCCTTATTTGCAACGATTTGGACTCTCCTCATAAGGTTTGGAGTCAAACACTTTTCACCTAGTCCAATCTCTAAAGGAAGCTGGGAGAATTTTCCATGCTTTATTGGAGGTGGTTGCACTTGCAACCTTCTCGAGCATCTCCAGCATCTTGTCATTCAAGATTTGATGGATGAGAGTGAACGCCTTAATCTTTCTTCTTTATTATAATGATTCTTCTTTGGACTACTTGGGTTGAACAAAATGACTAGGATACAAGTGCATTTATGTGACATCCATATCATGTATCAAGCCTAGTGTACATGTATCTTCATTTAATTTTTTGTCTTCTCCTTTTCCCAAGTACATGAACAAAACCATAAATTAATACATGCATCCCCTAACCCAATACACTTAACATTTTAATTCATGAACTACATAAATGAAATGCATGAATAACGTTTAAGTTCCCACCACTTAGCCCCAATAGTAATTATGATCAAATTCTCACTATTTGAGAAGTCCAATTAGTGACAAAGGCGGATCTAGGATTTGAACTCTACAGGTTCCAGTTAGGGATTATTTGTACGTATTTAGTGAATATTTTAACATATATATAGCATCCGAGCCAAAGCTACTAGGTTCGGTGACCCATACCTATAGCTCTACATCCGCCCCTGCCAATTACACAACTAAGCTCCATTTAGCCCTAAATAGCAATTACAATCAAACATTCACGATTTTCAAAGTTCAATTACACACAAAGTATGAAATTCAAAGTAAATCAAATTAAACAAAAAAATCAAACTGCTAACTGAAATAGTAGATTAAAAAAATGAAATAATTTTTGTTACCAGTGCCAGTGCCGGTAGGGTCACCACCTTGAACAAGGAAAGATTTGATGACACGATGAAAAATGGTATTGTCATAGTAACCTTCGAGACACAATTGAACGAAATTCCTTACAGCTTTTGGTGCTTCTTTTGGCCATAGTTCTATATCTAAGGGCCCATACGTCGTGTTGAGTACAACTTTTCCCTTCGTCGGCGGTTCCAATACGTACACTGACGACATTTATTCAGTAGCTGCTTTCTAGCATCAATTGGTTATGGAGGTTTTTCTTCTTTCTCAACTCCTAATAATTTACATAACCGAAATAGACTGTTCAATTGCTTGGTGCTAAAATATGTCCTCCGGACGACGTCGTTCTTCTCTCCAGAATTTTCCTTAATTTCTTTGTTCCGGTTACTCGCCCTAAGCCGATTTTCTTTCTTTTTTTAATCTCATAAAGTAATTTATTTTTACTAACAAGGTTTACAAATTTTATTCAGTTGTAAAGTCTCCCGCTCATAATGCGAGTTCAATTCTGAACTACAATCAGACATTTTTATAATAATATCACTATATAATAGTTATTAACTATAAAAACTAAATTTTTCTCATAACTAGTTTTTTAAGTTATATTCTACCTCTCCATAATATCTTTTTACTTGTAACAGCAACGACCATGTTTATAGCAGAACACTCTTTGTAAAATTAACTCTCTATAACAGTCATATAGAATCTTTAAGGTTACTAATAATAATTCTAAAAATACATACAATCTTTTTCATTGCACAAAGTTTCTATTTTGCACAAGACATTAAGCTCTTAGATTATCTTCAAGTGAAAGTTATTGGATACTTTTTTGTTGAAAATTTGAATACGAATCCAATTAAAGCGTTATATCGCTAGTAAGAGAATGAAAGCTACGAAATAAGTTATAATTACAAAGTTCTTCCATTAATCCTAAAAGAATTTATTTTTCTAAGTAGCTTTAATGTGTGCCTTAGAGTTTAAATCTTTATTATTTAGTTATGAATTTATTAATAATATATTCGCTTTCTTCAGTATTTAACCAGTGAAATACGCATATTGAGATTTTAAATTTGAATAATTTTTTTATTTTTTATATGTAACATTAGAAAAGGAAAAATAATTGATATTTGGATAATTTTTATCTATAACGGCCAAAAAATATTTAAACGTCAAATATTGTTATAGGTGTATAACAATTATTCACTATAAAAGCCAAAAAATATCATAACAAATGAGGTTGTTATAGAGAGGGTTGACTGTATCTCATTTTTTTTTCTCTCCTTTTCTTCCTTGATCCATAATGTAATTTAAAATTCATGTGTTATGATGAACTTAGTCTTTAGAAAATTATCCCATCAATACCGTTATGGGACTTAGAAATTAAAATTTTCATGTATTTATCATCAACTATATATATATATATATATGTATTAGGCTTTAAAAAAATATCAAAATAACCCGAAATTTTATAGTGTAGCAATTGAACTATATGACATACATCAAATACTCTTAGATGAGAAAGATTGGATTCCTAGTCCTCAACCAATTGTGAGGAAGAGAACTTATGCTTGTTGGCTGGTTAAATATATAAGTGTTGCTTTATGTAATGTATAGCATTTCCTAAGTAGAAATAGGGAGTTAATCTCATAAGTAATAGTTTTACACTCAACTGCATCATTTAATAAACGACTCTACTAGACTATTTTATGTAGGAACATAAGTAACAAGTAAAAAATATTCTACTATGGTCACTTGAAAAAGATTAGAGTATATTTATCTTGATCTCAATAATTTTTACCATATCTCTTAGTGTTTTTGTGGTCTAGTCAACTTATTTTATAGCACTAGATATATTCTGCCCCCATGTCTTTATTTATATACTAAAATTTTTAATCACGGTAATTGAATTAAAAATATTTTTGAGGGAGTGCAGATGTATCTAAAGATTGTCTAGCAAAATATTGTGAAGAAGTAGGACATAATTTTAAGTATAATAAGACACAACAATTTGCCAATTCAAGCTTGAAAATTGTTAGAAATTTGAAGAAGTCCATCATACCTACAAGTCCTAGATGCCCATCCATTAGTGCACTCAGAGTGAGCAAATAGTAGTTTTGATTGGATAACTACTATATCATGAGTCACATCTCTCGTTGCAATTACTTTCACTTTTGGAGATTGAGAGAAATAAACTATAACCAACCCCAAAAAATTATTGTTAGCACCAATATATATTAGTATATACCGTTTAAGCAAGAGATGCATGTATAAAAAGTTTTGTTATGTTATAAATTCATATACGAAGACAATCAAATAGAAAGAGAGTGAGATATTGAAGAAGACATTTACCACATGTCATCATAAGAGCAACAATGAAGTACAAAGTATTAGTATTGCTAGGATATAGAGAGAGATCTAGAGAAAGAGAAGAGGATATGTTCTTGCTGCAATGCTTTGCTTTATCAAGAACCTTAATTTATAGGCTCTTCTGCAGCTTAACCTCCCACCCTTCCCCCAACCCAAGCATCCACTCTTCTATGTTTTTCCAATTATTTTCATTCTCATGTAACGACCCGACCGGTCGTTTTCAGAGTTATAACCCTGATTGCTTATTAATTGCTTCTCTCATATCTATTTCTGCTATTGTGACTTGCCGGGAGGTTTCGTTTTGGCTTTTGGAGTGTTTTGGGACATTTAATCCCTAAATGGAGGTTTAAGCCTTAGGATATGAATATAAAGACGACTCTGGAATGGAGTTCTGTCGATTCTGTTAGCTCCGTTGGGTGATTTTGGACTTAGGGGCGTGTCCGGATGGTATTTTGGAGGTTTGTACCTGATTTAGGCTTGAAATGGCGAAAGTCAAATTTTTGGAGATTTTGACCGGTAGTGAACTTTTTGATATCGGGGTCGGATTCAATTCCGGAAGTTGGAGTAGGTCCGTAGGGTTGAATATGACTTGTGTGCAAAATTTGGGATCTATCGGACGTGGTTTGGTTGGTTTCGGCATCGGTTGTCGGATTTGGAAGTTTCAAGTTTTTTAAGTTTGAATCGGAGGATGATTCGTGATTTTAGCATTGTTTGATGTGGTTTGAGGGCTCGACTATATTCGTATAGTATTTTAGGATTGGTCTGTATGTTTGGTTGAGGTCCCGGGGGCCTCAGGTGAGTTTCAGGTGCTTAACAGATCAAAAGTTGGATTGGTGTTGTTGTTGAAGTCTTCAGGCATCTAGTGTTTTCGCACGTGCGGCGGGGAGACCGTAGATGCAGGATCGCACGTGCAGCGCACAAAGCGCAGAAGCGGAGATTGGAGGCATGGACAGGGATCGCACGTGCGAGGGAATTTCAGCATCTGTGATGCCCGCAGATGCGTTATAGGAACCGCAGGCGCGGTAAATGACCGCAGAAGCGGACAGTGCTCCGCAAGCGCGCACACGCAGGTGAGGCCCCCTTGCCGCAGATGCAGTCCCAGCCCTTTTTAGTGATTTTCGCACCTGCGATGGATTTCCCGCAGGTACGGTTGAAGGCTCACAGAAGCGAGTTTACTGGACAGAAAAGAGGAATTCGAGGGTTGATTACCCATTTCGATTTTGGGAGTTTGAGAACTCGGTGTGAGGCGATTTTTCTAGATTTCTTCAAGGAGATTGTTGGGGTAAGTGGTTCTAACTTGGATTGGACTATATTTCATGAATCTATTGCTATTTTCATCATCTAATTAGGTATTTGAGTTGAAAATTTGGGGGGAAATGGTAGAAACTTCATAGACTAAAATTTCGAGTTTTGGAAGGTGATTTGAGGTCGAATTCGAGTAATTCTTATATGGTTAGACTTGTGAGTAAATGGGTATTCGTATTTTGTGACTTTTACCTGATTTCGAGACGTGGGCCCGGTGAGACTTTTTGGGGTGATTTTTTAATTTCTTGCTTTAGCTTTGATTTCATAATTAGATTAATTTCTTATAGTTGTATTTATGGTATGAATTTGATTTTTGCTAGATTTGGGTCATTCAGAGTCGGATATTCGTGGTAAAAGGCATTGTTACCGATTGATTGAGCTTGGTTCGAGGTAAGTGGCTTGCCTAACCTTGTGGGGGGGA